AGGGTTTCCTGAGAGCAGGCCTGTCTCCAATGCTAGACTCTGGGAAGGACGGAATGAAGTTAGTGCAGGAAAATGTTAGTTTTTTTTTTTTTAAAGGTAACTGGGGGTTGCTGTTATACAAAGCCATGCAGGCCCTGAATACTCTGGGGCTTGGGTAATGTGGAAATGCTGAAGTTCTAGAGGTCATTCATCAGCCAGCAGCCCCTGCCCTTCTAGAAGCAGGAAATCTGCCCATGGACCAAAGCATGAAGATGAAGCTCACAGCGTTTTGCAGAACTAGGCCTTGAGGCTGGACAGTATCCACACTGAATTGGTCCCACTGACCTGCTGAAGATCCTGGGCTTGGACACTGCCTTTCCATAGTGGTAGTGTGGCTCACAGCTCTAAAGGCACACAGCCAGGCTTTCTATTCCTGCTCAGTGACAAACTAGCAATGTGGCCTTGAACAAGTTCACCTAAGTGTTCCAAGCCTCATGGTGAGAAAGGAGACAATATGCTGACTATCTCCATACTCTGTAAGGATTTAATGAGATACAGGTAGCACCCAATTTATGATGGAGCTCCAGTCAGATGACTATTATAAGACAGTTCTAAAATAGTCACATACTTCAATTTTTTTAATGTTTTTTTTTTTTTTATTACTGCCTTTTATTAATATAAAAGGCAGCAAACCTGATCTTTATTTGTCTTTGGGGGTTGACAAGACAATGATGTTATTGTTGTTGTTGTTGTTAAATGCCGTCGAGTCAGTTCCAACTCTTAATCATATGCTCGTTCTTGAAACGGTTGTACATCAATACCCATAGCGACCCTATATAGGGTTTCTGAGGAGCAGCTGGTGAACTCGAACCACTAACCTTGAGATTCAAACCAACTTTGCAGCCCAGCACATTAACCCATGGCACCACACAAGGTGCTGTTGTTGTGTTTTAAGTGCCATCGAGTCAGTTCCAACCCATAGCAATCTTGTATAGGGTTTCTGAGAGGCAGCTGGTGAGCTTGAACTGCCGACCTTGCAGTTCAAACGGCTTTGCAGTCTGGTGCATTAACCCACAGCGCCACACCAGGATTGGTGCCATTAAATTACTTCCAACTCATAGTAACTGTGTATAATAGAACGAAACAGTTTCCAGTCATGTGCAGCCCTCACATGCTGCTTCCCTGGGCATTGATTGTGGATCTAAGTAAAATTAACTCTTTGACAGCTTCAGTATTTTCTGTTGATCATGATGTTGATTATTAGTCCAGTTGTGAGAATTATTGTTTTCTTTATATTGAGGTGCAATCCATACCTAAGCCTTTGATGAGAAGGATAATATCAGTAAATGATGTGCTGTAATGTTGTATGCAGTACACATCGCTCAAGATGTTGTTGCTGTTAAGCGCCATTGGGTTGGTTCTAACTCATAGCAATCCAGTATAGGATTTCTTGTAGTTCTGCACTTATCCTACAGTGCCACATGAGGACCCACAAAAAATAGATAGTCATAAGCACGGTTCAACTAGAATATGTTGTGAGTTGGGGACTGTCTGTAATGTGTTTGATGGGCTTAGCAAAGACCCCTGTATAATAGAAGGTGTTCGGTAATTGTTAGGTAATGTTATTGATAGGGCACTCTAATGGTTACAAGTTGGGCTGCTAACCTCAAGGTCAGCAGTTTGAAACCACCAAGGGTTCTGCAGAAGAAAGATGAGTCTTTCTGCTCCCCTAAAGATTTATAGCCTCAGAAACCCTGTACAGGGTATCTATGAGTCAGAACCAACTCCACGGCATATAACCACCACCACCAAGTAGTCCCTCTAAAGTAATCCTGGGAGTTAAGTCCAGGCTGAATTTCTAAGACTAGGCCAAGTCTATGTGAACTGGATCCTCAAATCAATGCCCCCCTGGAAGATCCCCTTAACCTGGAGAGCAGGCTTAGCATAGGTGTTTTATTTGCTTATTTTATTGCAAAAAGATACTTAACAAAACATATGTCACCACAACAATATCTATACTACAATTCAGTAACTGAGATTACGTTCTTTATATGTGCAATAGTTCTCACTGTCCTTTTCCAAATCATTCCACCATCATTAACATAACCTAAATGCTCCCTAACCATATCAACTCTCCCTTCCTCCTGTTCTCATACCCCTCGTTACCACTAATAATCTTTGGTTTCTGTATATTTGTTTATTTCATGTAAGTGAGATCATATAGTATTTGTCTGTTTGTAACTGACTTATTTCAGTCCATATGATATTTTCAAGGTTCGCCCATGTGGTGGCATATATCGGGACTTCATTTCTCATTACGGCTGAACAGTATTCCATTGTATGTGCATATCATGTTTTGTGTATCCATTTATCTACTGATAATCATTTTGGTTCTTCAAACCTTTTGGTCATTATGAGAAGTGCATTGGTGTTCTTTTGTGTCTGTTTTCATTCCTGCCATCACTTCTGAGTGTATACCTAGGATGGGGATTGATGAGTCAAGTCATATAGCAGTTCTACTTCAACTTTTTGAGGTACCGTACAACTGTTTTCCACAATGGCTGTACCATTTTACATTCCCACCAGCAATGGATGAGGGTTCCAGTTTTTCCACTACCTTGCCAACACCTGTTGTTTTCGTTGTTTTGTTTTTATCATAGGTGTTTTTCACAAACTCCAGGTGAACTTATATATGAGGGAAAGTCAAAAGGTATTCTACAAAATCATGTTGTTGTTATTGTTAAGTGTTATCGAGTCAGTTCCTACTCATAACAATCCTATATAAGGTTTCTAAGGAGTGGCTAGTGGGTTTGAACTACCAACCTTGCCATTAGCAATCCAGTGCCTATCCTACAACACCACACCAGGACCCCATAGAAACCTTTATTAAACAAAAATATTGTCATGTGAAGCTATTGTTTCCAACATATCTTCCATCTATAGACTGCTAAAGAAGGCAGTCCTGATGTAGCGCTGTAGGATAAGCACTGGACTGTGGTTATCTACAAGGTTGGTGGTTCAAGCCCACCAGCTGCTCCTCAGAAACCTTATATAGGTTCCCTATCAGTTGGCTCTGACTCAATGGCACTTAACAACAGCAACTCTTCTCCAAGCACTTCTGTGTTCTTCAGTTTATCTCATGTCAAAAACAGCAATTTTGGCATCCTCAAGGGACTCAAATCATGTTCCTTTGAAATGTTCTTTGAATTGGGGGAACACAAACAAGTCTGAAGGGGCAAGATCAGAATTTAGTTAGGGTGGATGGGACAAGATTTCCCATTGAAATGCTCATAGGACAATCTTTACTACCCTCAAAGAATTAGCAGGTACACTGTCGTGATGGAAAAAATTCCTAATGCAACTTTCCGAGCCTTCTTCTCACCAATGCAGTTTTCCTACAACTTCTTCATAATAAGCACCAATGATTGTTCTGTGTCCTTTGAGAAAATCTATCAAAATTACCTCTTTAGGATCCCCAAAACAGTCACCATAATCTTCTTTAGCTGACCTCTCTGATTGAATTGAAATGGCCCAGCAGATCCTCTGAGAAGCCACTGTTCTGATTGGACATTTTTTGGAAGCCATCCTAATGAGACCAAGACAAGTATATTACTGAGAAAACTTGTCATCCACAAGTCTAAATATGTTTTGTTTGGAATTAACTCATGTATGCATGAACTGGAATCCTAGTAGCAATACTTTTTTACTTACCCTTGTGTGACTAGCTGTGAAGTCTGTGTTGATACTGGACTTGTTGGGGAAGACATAGGAGGATGAACAGAAACTGTCTATCTGAAAAATGTAATGAAACAGCTGAGAGGCTTAGAGAATTTGGTTCTCTGAGACACGCCCAGCACAGCAATCTGTGATAGCTTCAGGATACCATGGTGATGTGGTGGAGACAGAGTCCCTGACTGGTCCAGTTAATTCTTTCATCTGCTAACCAAAAGGTTAGAGGTTTGGGTCCACCCAAAGGCACTTCCAGAGAAAAGCGTGGTAATTTACTTCTGAAAAACCAGCCATTGAAAACCATGTGGAACACAGTTCTACTCTGACATACATGGCAGCAACATGAGTTGGCGTCAACTTGATGGCAACCAATGATGGTGGCAGTGGTGATGGTGGTGATGGAAACATACAGAAAATCTGGGCTTGACTCTGCTTGTTATTGCTGTTATTAAGTGCCATCGAGTCAGTTTCAATTCATAGCAACCCTGTAGAGGGTTTCCAAGGAGTGACTGGTAGATGTGAACCACTGACCTTGTAGTTAGCAATCCACTCCTTATCCTACAGAACCACACCAGGACTCCACAAATTCTTTTCTTCACAGCTTCAGGTTTCTCATTTGTAAAATGGGACTCCTCAGGTTTGGGGGAATAAAGTGAGATAGTAGATACAAAGTATAAGGTAAAGAGTTGATGTTTTGGACCCCAACATCATCTTTATTGTCATTGTGTTGTCACTACCTGTAAACCCTGCTGTGAAGTCAGTGGGATTCTATGGTCACTTTTCTCCGTTGTGGAGAAACTTCTTCCCCACCCCTACCCACTTGCCTGCCTGTAACCAAAATACCGCAAGAGGGTGACTAAAGAAGACAGATGTATTTTCTCATAGTTCTGGAGGCTAAAAATCCAAATCAGGCTCTTGTTCGAGTTGATTTCTTCCTAGTAGGTCATCCTGAATGAATTTGGTTCCTTGACTTATAGATGATTCTCATATGGCATCTGTCTTTCCCCCTATGAATCTCTATATATCTATGTATAATTCATTCTTTTTATTACTCAGAAATGTGATTAGATTTAGGATCCACCTTACTTGAGTGTGCTGTAATTAACAACAGAAAAAACAGATTTCCAAAGAAAATCACATCCACAAATGTAGGGGTTAGGATTTGAGAGGGGGATATGATTTCATCCATAACATTGTCCATCAAGTTTGATGGTGTTGGGACTTGGATGGGGCCTTGATGACAGTGAAAAGGGTCATTGACTCTGACCAATGTCTCCCTCTCATCTCCCATAGGAACATGCTTGCCAATTCAGCCAGCGTGCGGATCCTCATCAAGGGAGGCAAGGTGGTGAATGATGACTGTACCCATGAGGCTGACGTCTATATTGAGAATGGCATCATCCAGCAGGTGGGCCGTGAGCTCATGATCCCCGGAGGGGCCAAGGTGATCGATGCCACTGGGAAGCTGGTGATCCCTGGAGGCATCGACACCAGCACCCACTTTCACCAGACCTTCATGAATGCCACATGTGTGGATGACTTTTACCATGGCACCAAGGTAAGACCTCCGTTTGCTGAAGATGGTTTCCTATTTGGCTTCTTTATTCTGCTTTTGGGGTGGCTCCAGACCAGACGTGTGGACAAAGTGCTCGGCTGCGTTGCTTAAAAATAAAATAAAAGGGCATCTAGAGCAGGGATTTCTAGGCTCGCCTGTTGCCCTGGAAGTGATTATGGAAAGGGATGCACTGAGACCTCTTTTGCTGATTATGTCACTTACCCATGTGCCCAGACTGGGAACTGATGCTATTTTTATATTCTTATGTCCTGTGATAGAAGTCTAGAGGGAAAAGAGGAGTTGCTGGTATTTGTTATTGTGTGTGTGTGTGGGGGGTGGTCATAGAGGTGGAGGGGGTTTGATCTGATGTATTCTTCTATGTATGATAAGTTAAATTAAATCCCCACAGATTCTGAAAGGTATATATGTCCCTCCTGGACAGTTTTAATGGCATGCAATATGAAACAAATGTAGTTGACCATCTTCTATTTCTTCATTAGAATGGCTTTGAAAGATACTGGTGCTGGGGTCTGTTTTCAGAGTGAGTTATCATGGACAGCATTTGGTTGTTACTTGAGCCACTGTATGTCCCAGAACACAAAATGCAAAACTTCCAACCTGTGAAACGAATGAATTAGAAAGAAATTCTGTAATGCAAAAAAAATTGCAAGTGGGTTCTTGCACCCTTCCTCTTTACTCCAGAAACCTGTTATTGCCATCACGCTGCTGCATTTTAATGATGTTACATGCCAGGTACTCCCTGGACACCAGCCTGTGGTCACATTCCTCTGTGTCCCAGAGCCTGGCACTGTTTGTTGAATGAATGAGTGATCGATGCTTGTCTTTGTGGGTCTCTACACCCAGCTGTACATCAGGTTCAGCTAGGAAGATTTTTTTTTAATACAGAATTGAATCTAAATCTCTAGGGACACAAGTCCTGGACTCTGGCAGCAGCTCTTTATACTGTCTGATGCACTGGGTAAAAGAGATTCACCAGCTCCGGACCCAGCACAGCCTCTAACCCCCAGCAGCCCTGGACCCTAAAATCAAACTTCTACTCTAGCCAGGGTTTTCAAGGAGCCCTTCCTCCTTGCCCAGGACTGTCCCCTAAGGGTCCATATTCCTGGAAGCTCACATGCTTCTGCTGCTAGCACAGACTGGTGAAGCAGCTCAAACATACCCCTGAGGAGCCTGGCTGGGGCTGACCTTGGCAACAAAGCTATGAGGGTCAGGTTACTTCAGCAGAAGGCCTTAAGTTCTCCTTGAGGATGTGTTCCCCCTTCTTGATCTAAGGGCTACAGACCAGAGCCTTGGAGGACTGGGAGGTGAGGGCTCACAAAAGCCAGGGACCACAAGAGGGAACCTAGAGCCAGGGGCCCTGGAAAAAGGCAGAATCTCCAGTGAGTACTATCCAATCTGTCTAGGCGGAACTGATGAAATGAAATGCAGATGGGTCTCTTGTGATACAATAGTGAATAATTGTTATCAGGACTGATTGTGAGGGTTGGAAATGTAAAGGTAGATGTTTTATAGCAAGGAAGGGAGTGATTAACTTTTCAGTCTAGGAGCGGAGGTCCCTAGGACCATCAAGGGAGAAGAGCCGAGAGCGGGACCCTACCCAGAGAAGCAGTGATGCCTCAGATGGAGGCAGAGACGATGACGTGGAGCGATGGAGCAGCTGGGGACTTTAGATCCAGAGAGGGAGAGTGACTGTGTGCTGAAGACTGAGGGGGAAGAGGGGTGTAGTGTAGGGGGCAGGCTTACAGGGTATATACCCTTTGGTTGGTTGATGATGCATGGAGGGGATTGGAACCATGTCAATAAAATGATATATGATAGAATTAATGTAAAACTAATGTTCTCCCATGTAAACTATCATATAATTCACAATAAAACATTAAAAAAAAAAGCCAGGGACCAGGTTGTATGGAGATGAGTTTACTCCCAGTCTGGGATCAGAGATGTGGGACTATACCTGCCCACTCTGCCTCAGGCCAGGGAAGAGAGGAGGAAGAAGGTCCTCCTACTTTCTCCTTTGAGAAGTGCCACAAGCCCTGCAGGTGAGGGGGTCTGTAATGGAAGTAGGAGACCCATCCCCGTAAACCAGGAGCCCCTTGCATTTGGGACCTTTCTGAAGCAAGTGAACCTGTTTGACTCACCATCCCCATGTCCTTGAATCAGACCAGGCCTGTTCTGTGTGTGGTTCTTATGGTTGCTTTAATTAAGTACAGCTTACAGCAAAGGGTACCACTGTGGGTATATGGAGTTATCAGACTGAGCATACCTTGTGTGTAACCAGCACCCAGATCAAGAAACTGAACATTACTTTTTTGTTGTTATGTGTCATCGAGTCAGTTCTGACTCGAAGTGACCTTGTATAGAGTTTTCAAGGAGTGACTCATGGTTCTAAACCGCCAACGTTTCCATTAGCAGTCCAGTGCTTATCCTAGCACCCAGAAACCCTCCTTGTGGCCCCTCCCCATCAAAACTTTCCACCAAGAGTAACTACTCTCCTAACTTCTAATGCCATAGTATTGTATTTTGCTTTTATTTAAATAGCAGTTTTATTTAGATACAATTCATATACTCTACAGATTATGTATATACATAAAGTATAAAATTCAGTGATTTTAATGTATTCAGCACAGATTGGTTTTGATTGATTTATGTTTTTTAAAAGTGAAATTAAGTCGTTACGAATCGGGCTGTGAACCACAAGGTCAGCAGTTCGAAACTGCCAGAAGTTCCGCGGGAGAAAGATGAGGCTTTCTGCTCCTGTAAAGATTTACAGCCTCGGAAACCCTGTTCAGGGTCGCTATGGGTCGGAACTAACTTGATGGCACTTAACAGCAACAACAACAACCCTTGAATCAGTTTCTTTTGCTCAATATTATTTATGTGAAATCCTCCACATTGTTGCATATTATAGTTAATTCACTGTTGGTTTATAATATTTCATTGTATGATATACCACATAGTATTATCCATTCTACCCCAAGGTTGGTGGTTCAAATTCACTAGCTGTTCCTTGGGACATCCTTTATAGGGTCTCTATAAGATGGAACTTACTCAATGACACTTAACAACACCAACACGTAGGTAGTTTGGGCAATTGCTAGTTTGGGCTATTTACAAACACTGTTGCTGTGAACATCCTTATGGCAAACATTTAATGTACATGTTTCTGTTGGACATGTTCCTAGGACTGGAATGACTAGGTCATTGGGTGTATGCACATTCAGCTTTAGTTGCTCCTGCCAAACCGTTTTCCAAACTGTAACAATTTAGACTCTCAGTAGTAACGTCTAACAGACAGACCATAGTATTTAACATCAGCAAACTCTGATAACCATCATGCCCATCCACACTGAGGCCCATTCTATAGTATGCTCAGACATTGAGTCAAAAATTGTAGCTCTCCAGTAACTAACTACCCCTGCTTCTTGTTGTTCCATCCCATCAAGTTGGTTCCGACTCATAGCAACCCTACGAGCAACAGAATGAAGCCCTCACTGGCCAGTGCTGGGTCATCTTCACAATCTCTCCCATGTTGGAACCCATTTTTTCAGCCACTGTGTCAATCCAGCTCACTGAGAGTCTTCCCTTTTTTTACTGACTCTCTTTTACAATGATGACTGGTCCCTTCTCATAACATGCCCCAAGTAGGTGAGACAAAGTCATTTCTAAGGAGCCTTCTGGCTATACTTCTTCCGAGACAGATTTGGCTTTCTTCTGAAAGTCCATGGTATATTCAGTGTTCTTCTCCAACACCATAATTCAAAGGCATCAGTTCTTCTTTGGTCTTCCTTATTCATTGTCCAGTGTTTGCTTACATACAAAGCAATTTAAAATACCATGGCTTCTGTCAACTGCATCTTAGTCCTCAAAGTGACCTCTGCTCCTTCTTGAGAAGCCTTTAATCCAGGGCCATATGCCACACTTCATCATGTTGCCTGCCAGCCCCTCAAAGGACAGGATGGCCTTCTTTGTCTTATTTTCCACATTGTTGTCTACAGAGGCCTCATTAGCCAGGAGTGCCAGGTTTCCCCTGAGAGTCTTCAGCTCTTTGCAGATGATAGAGCGCTCTGCACACATTCATTTGTGCAAAGTGGTGGTTAACTCTGATCTTTCCCAGGTTTCTCATCCTTGGGGGAAGCTGCCTTGGGAATGCATTTAAAGGGCCCTGTGTGAGCAAAGACCCAGCCCTGCAAGTTCCTGCAGGTTTAGTGCTGCCTCAGGTACCCCCAGTCCATGTCCAGTCCTAGTCATGGAAACTTGAAGGGCCATAAACCTAAGCCATTCTGCATGCTGGCATCACCTAACCACCCCCCTTGTTATCAAACCAACAAGAAAAACCCAAACCTGTTGCTGTCAAATCAATTCTGACTCCTGGCTGTCCCATGTGTTACTGAGTAGAACTGTTCACTAGGGCTTTCTTGGCTGGAACTCAGAATTAGATCACCAGGCAGTCCTCCAAGGTGCCATTGGCTGGGTTTGAACTACCAATGTTTAGGTTAGTAGTGGAGCACGCTATTTGTCTACCCAGGGACCTGTTCCAATCCCTGAACAGGATTGTACCTTGTGCAAGATTGTACCCCAGCCCTCATAATGAGCTTCCTATCTTGACCCCTTAGGAAGACCCTGCCCAGAGGCCTGTCTCAGGCCTGTAATCTTCCCGAGAACCAGCTTCCTACCCCTGGAGCTCATCACTCCCCACCCCCACCCACCCCCACCCCTGAATTCCACTTTACCTGGTTCCTGAAAATCTCTGGGGGAGAGAAACTGCTCTCTGTTGCAGCGCCATCCCTGGGATTTGTGGGTTTAATTATTCACACCTTCTGTAGCATTCGTGCTGGTCTGCTGTGACCTGGTTTGTTCACTCTCAGAAAGGCAGCAGGACAATTCACTTTAAGCATCTGGGTTGATAACAGAATAATAATCCTGAGGAAAAGTTCACCTGAGTGATTAGCCCAGGGAGAAAGAAAGATCAAGTTGCATCTTTT